GCCTGGGGCGGGGCCTCGAGGTGGGCCGGGGACGGGGCCTCTTTCTGGTTAATCAGGTTTCAGCCCTGGTGGCCACGGCGGACTTCACACAGCGCGTGGTGTGCCCTGGGCCTGCCGTGGCTCCTCTCGCCTTGCGCGGGCTGGGGGGCTGTGCCGGGGGAGGGGGACCCCCGGTCCACAGACGAGTGGGCGGTTTGGGGCGGGTCTGGGCAGGACAGGCCAGGCCGTGGGGGGTCCAAGGGGCCCGTGGGGGTGCAGGGACGTGGCCAGGAGGCCCACAGAGGTGGGGCAGGGGGCGTGGGGGTGGCTAGGAACCCCACGGGGGCCTCCAGTCCCGCAGGCTGGCACAGGGCGGTTATCACCTGGGCAGGGGGCTCAGGCGGGCGCAGTCGGGGAGCTGCTGAGAAGCCCCCCTTTCCCGGCGCACCTGCCGGTCTCCTGCAAACGTCCACGTCTCCGGCACTGTGTGGGGCCGAGCGCGGGAGGGCCGGAGTCACCCCGGCGGGGAAGAGCAGGGGTTCCCCATCCCTCGGTGGGGCTGGGCCCGAGAACCAGGCCGCTGCCAACCCAGCCGTGCCACCCGTCAGCCGGGGGGGGTGCCGCTGTCCGACGGGGCCCCTCGGCGTGGCCTTCAGCGTGGCCCCAGCGTCACACGTGGGAGAAAGCAGAGCTGTGTGGGAGCCGGGGCCTCACGGCCTCCCTCCCGCCGCCCCTGCCGTGGGCTGCGGCTCCGCGCCGGCCAGGCCCCCCGCCCGGTCCTGGCGGCCTTGTGTCCGGCCCGCCCTCCCCCCACGCCTGTGCCCTGGACTCGGACGGGGCTGGCTCGTCCGTGGAACGGGCACCGCTCCAGAGCCACCTTTATTCTGTCGTCCTGCGTTTGCCGGGCACTTCCAGGACAGCAGCCGTGGGACAAGATGCCCAGGGGCAGGCTGGCCGCGGGGGAGGGCGCCTTGGCCCCCGGGACGCGGCCGGCGCCTGAGGTGGCCTGAGGCGGGCCCTGTGCTGTTAGCGTGAGACTGACCAGCAGGAAGGCTCCCCACAGACTGGGCTTGGGGGGTCGAGGCGCCTCCAGCGCCCCGAGGGCCGTGCCACCACCGTGCCACCCCCTCGGGTCCACGTCCCGTCCCTGCCCTGCCCACAGTCACGTGTCTTACTGGCTGGGCCCCTGTGCCGGCCAGCCCTGGTGACCACTGCATCACCCCGAGTTGGGTCAGGGCTGCGGGGTGCGCGGGGATGCCCGGCCAGGGAGTGCTTGGGGGTGCCAGGCCCCAGGGTGCTGGGGTGCATGGGGGCGCCGGGCCGGGGTGCGGGGCGTGGCCCCCCGGCTGTGGGCCAGCCCCGATGCGCCTGCCTCTGCCCCGACAGGTCCTTTGACGTGGGCCTGCACGACTTCCTCATCAGGTGAGTGAGCGTCCCCTGCGCGCGTCCCGGGCTCGCGGCTGGCCCGGCAGCCGTGGACAGGCCCGTGGCTGCACGGTGGGGGAGGGCGGCAGCGCCTGGGCGTGGCCACTGGCCGGTCTCCCGCAGCCGGCTCTCTGCCGCCTTCACGCTGTTCACGTGGCGCCTGCTGGTGGCCCCGCCACGGAGTGTCCGTTGCCGCTCACGGTGCTCAGCTGGGCTGGCGGCGGCGCTGAGGCCCTGCGGCGGGTGGGCGCCAGGAGGCAGTGTCGTGCCCGCCCCGCACCAGGGCCCCTGTGGTCCCCAGTGCTTGGAGCGGGTGCCCCAAGCTGCTGGACGCCGCTGGGCAGGGGGCCGGGAGGGGTTGGGGGCAGGGAACCATTTCCTACAGCCGGCCTCTGCCTGTGCCCGCGTGTGTCCAGGCGTGTGCGGTGTCCGGGCGGGTTTGGTGTGACCGTGTGTGCAAGTGTGAGCGCGAGGAGGCCCGTGCGCATGGCCAGGCGTGTATGTGTGCAGGTGCGTGGCCGGCTGTGCCGGTGTGCAGGTGTCCATGTAGGTGAGTACCTGAGAGCATGTGCAGCGGGTGCAGGCGTGTGTGGGAGTGCACACAGGTGTGTGCAGGTGTGTATGTGTGTGGCTATACAGGTGTGTGGAGTAGATGTGTGATTGTGTACAGGTGTGTGTACAGGTGACTGTATGGGTGTGTGTATGGGTGTGTGTGTACAGGTGTGTGAGTGTGTACAGGTGTGTGTACAGATGACTGTATAGGTGTGTGAGTATATACAGGTGCATGTGTACAGGTGTGTGTATGGGTGACTGTACAGGTATGTGAGTGTGTACAGGTGTATGTACAGGTGACTGTACAGGTCTGTGAGTATATACAGGTGTGTGAGCATACAGGTGTGTGAACATGTGAATGTACAGGTATGTGTATGGGTGACTACAAGTGTCTGTGTACAGGTGACTACAAGTGTCTGTGTACAGGTGTGTGTACAGGTGACTATACAGGTTTGTGAGTGTGTACAGGTGTGTGTACAGGTGACTATACAGGTTTGTGAGTGTGTACAGGTGACTGTACAGGTGACTGTACAGGTGTGTGTACAGGTGTGTATGTACAGGTGTGTGTACAGGTGACTGTACAGGTTTATGAGTGTGTACAGGTATATGTACAGGTGACTATACAGGTTTGTGAGTGTGTACAGGTGTGTGTACAGGTGAGTGTGTACAGGTGTGTGTACAGGTGACTGTACAGGTATGTGAGCGTGTACAGGTGTGTGTACGGGTGACTGTACAGGTGTGTGTGTACAGGTGTGTGTACAGGTGACTATACAGGTTTGTGAGTGTGTACAGGTGTGTGTACAGGTGGCTATACAGGTTTGTGAGTGTGTACAGGTGTGTGTACAGGTGGCTATACAGGTATGTGAGTGTGTACAGGTGTGTGGTTGTGCACAGGGACGCCCCACTCCTGCGCTCGGAGCGCCCCAGGCAGGCCCGTGGGGTGAGCAGAGCCTGAGCGCCCCTGGACTTGCGGGGTGTCTGGCGCTTCTGCGGCCGGCAGGCCTTCCTGCGGGAAGTGGCTGTGCCCCCAGTTCCTGCACCCCTGGCTGTGCGGGTTGGCCCACGGGGCCTCTTGGCAGGTGCGGGGTTTGGAGAAGGCCCCCGCTTCTGCTGCCTGCGCCCCGGTCAGCAGGTGGCCAGTCAGGGGCAGCAGGACCCAAGGAAAGCCGCCTGCTCCCGGCTCCTCCAGGCTTGCAGGCTCTGCAGCCCCCGCCTCCCCCCGCCCCCATCCCTGCCCGGCCCCCTGTGCGAATTCTGCGCCTCCCCCCGGGCTCTGGGCCCCCCGGGGCTGGCCCGGCGTCTGCTCGGGGCACCGAGGTCCGGCCGGGGGCCACTCCGCCTGTGTGCAGACCCGGGTCAGGGCGGCCCGGCCTCCCGCCCACACAGGTCTCCCTGCCCGACTCGCCCCGAGATGGCGCGCGGGCTTTGGGGTGCGCCCACGGTGCGCGCTGACCCGTGCAGCTGT